TCCTGACTAATACACCCAGACATGAAACAGAGACTACCTCAGACCCATCAGTCTCTGGCTGATCTACTGGTTGTGCAGTTCTAAGAGTGAGTCCTGCTGAGGCCAGCCCATGTTGTTGCTCCACAGAATCATAGGCTTATCTTTACTCACTGGGTTTTGGAATGAGTTGCTATGGAGCAAAAACACCTTTTCTAATAAAAAGAAACGTAAGGGTCTGGTAGTTCAAAGATCTTGGAGGTGAGAATCAATGAACGGTTATGATGTACTTTTCAAATCAGAGGAAACTGAACCACCATGAAGGAAAATCTCCAGTTTGGTGATGTGACCAAACAAGTTACTTATTCTTATTTTGATCAATTTCCTTATCAGGAAACGAAGGGTGGGTCATGCTTCTTAAGACTGTTCAGAAACAATGCGGGGCGGGGGTATGTGTCTAACTTGCCTACCACTATAACGCACTCTTTAGGTACTTTATAAGGTTGGAGTTTTATTTCATTTTACTTTCAGACTTGTCCTCTGGGGTCCTAGATGTCAGATTCTGTAGCACTCAAAAGAAGGAAAAGGGATTGTAACATATTTTAGGACTTTACTTTTAATTATGTGTGTCTATGTGGAGATATGTACATGTGTATGCAGTTGCCCTCAGAGACTGTCTGGTTCCCTGGAGATGGAGTTACAGGCAGTTGTGAGTCACTTGATGTGGGTGCTGGGAATTGAACTCAGGTCCTCTGCAAGAGCAGCAAGAGCTCCTTAACTGCTGAGCCATCTCTCCGGGCCTCATTGTGAAATATTAAAAAAGAAAATTTATCTCTTCCCATTACAAACTAGAATAAGTGATATAAATCTGATTTGCAAAAAATCAATTACATTTTTTAATTTAAAAACTGTTTTTGTTAGCTGGGCATGGTGGCCTATGCCTGTAATCTCAGCACTTGGGATATGGAGGCTGGGGGATCAGGAGTTGAAAGCCAGCCTTAGCTACATAGTGAGTTCAAGGCCAGCCTAGGCTACATGAGACCTTGTTTTAAAAACAAAACAGAACAAACAGAAAATCCTTTGCAAAGTCAGGCATGGTGGTGCACACTTGTGATTCCAGCACTTGAGAGCAGAGGCAGGAGGTTTGCTGTAAATTCAAGGTCAACTTGGTTTACATAGTGAGTTCCAGGCCAGCCAGGAATATAAAGCAAGGTCCTGTTGTGGAGGTCAGGCTCAGGATATGCTCTGCCAAAAGTTATTTCATAGTGTTTGTTATTATATAGAGAAAAGGTAGTTATTTCTGCACATTGATTTTGTATCCTGTTACTTTGCTGAAAGTGTTTCTCAGGTCTAAGGGATTTTGTGTAGTCTTTAGGGACTCTTAAGTATAGAACAATGACATCTGAAAATAGGGACAATTTGACTTCTTATCTGTGACATTTTAATTTCTTTCTCTTGTCTTACTGCTCTATCTATACAACAACTCATATTGCTGAAGGACTTTAAGTCAATATATCAGAGATGCTTGCACATCCAGGTTTACTGCTTTGCTATTCACAATAGTCAGGAAGTAGAACTAGCCTAGATAGCCAATAACAGATGAACAGGTAAAGAAAATATGGTACTTACACAATGGAATTTGATTGGACTGAAAAAAAACAAAATCATGACATTTGTAGAAAATGGATGGAACTGGAAACTATTAAGTGAAATAAGCGACTCAGAAAGAAAAACACCACATACTTTCTCTCACATGCAGAACCTAGATTTAGCTATGTGCGCGTGTGCATGTGTGCGTGCGTGTGTGTGTGTGTGTGTGTGTGTGTGTGTGTGTGTATGTGTAGGTCATGAAACTAGAAAGGTGACCAGATGAAGGGATGAAAAGATCTTAAAGGGGGAGGGAAGAGGAGATAAAGGATAAAAGAAGGTAATGGTCTCTATGTGATTTGGCAGCAGAAGAGGCCATCTATTTGGGGGAAAGAAGGGGACCAGCAGGAGTCAGATAAAGGAGAATGGGAGAGAGCAGGGAGTAGTGAGATAAGAACAAAGACTCTTGACAAATACATATGAAAATGTCATAATGAAACCTATTAGTTTGTCTGCTGACTTCAAATATTAATGAAAAGAAAGAAGTGAACATATATACACTAAAAGAAGATTCAGCCCCACTCACTGATCTCTAGGAAGGGAAATGGGACCTGGAGATCAAGCTCTATAAAAACTCTTGTACAGATGCTAGAGAGATGGCTCAGTGGGTGAGAACCTCTGTTCTTTCAGAGGACCTGAGTTCAGTTCCCAGCACCCACACTGAATGGCTCATAACTGTCTGTAACTCCAGCCCCAGGGGGATCTGACACCTCTGGCCTCCAGGGCACCTGCACTCATTTGCATATACCCCCACACAGACATACACACTTAACGTAATTAAAATATTTTAAAACGATAACAACAAAACTCTGGTACAAGAGGCTGGGGATATAGTTCAGTGGTAGAACTCTTGCCTCACATGTGTGAGGCCCTAATAAACATTTTCAGCAAAGTAGGATTACAAAAATCTATGGACAAAAATCAGTAGTCTTTCTATATACCAATAATAAAGTTGTTGAGAAAGGGATAAGGGAATATTACCCCATTTTCAATAGCTTCAAAACCGAGTCAAGTCAAAGCAAAGTAAAGCAAAACCAACACTAACCCCCGTAGGAATAAGCCTAACCAATAGACAGCATCACAAAAACCCAAAACAAAACAATGAAAAGAAACTTGAGGGCTGGAGAGATGGCTCAGTGGTTAAGAGCATCAACTGCTCTTGCAGAGGACCCGGGTTTGATTCCCAGGAATGGCATGGCAGCTAACAACCATCTGTAACTCCAGTTCCATGGGATCCAATGACCTCTTCTGACCTCTGTAGGCATTGTACAACACAGGTGCACTTACACACATGCAGGCAATACACTCATACATGCAAAATAAATAATAATAAAATAGATTTAAAACAAATAAATTTGAATAATTAGGTCTGCTAGATTTCCAGGCTGCTGACTATACAGAGGTGTTAGGAGTGTGGTGTGTTTGAAAAGAGCATGGAATCTCCATGTCTGTTCCCTACTCCTCATCCTGTGTATCGCTTACCTGGCTCTTCATTTCTGTCTTTTATAATAAACTCCTGCACTGTCCTACAATCCTATCTCACCATCAGTTACTGCCTCTGTACTGTCTAGTATATATTTACTTATTTGAGGGGTATGGAAGGTTAGTAGGGTGGCATATCTTTACCATAATGGACATGTAAATAGTCTGCCTGCCTCCACTTTGTGACAAGGTAAGATTTATTGGTTTTTCTTTTTGTTGAGACAGGGTCTTATGGAGCCCAGGCTTGCCTCAACTCATTGTGCAGTTGAGGATTATCTTGAACTCATGAGTCTCCTCTCAAGGGCTGGGGTTACAAGATTACACCACCATGCTTATTTATGTGGTGCTGGGGATGGAACCTAGGATTTTGTGCATGTTAGGCAAGCACTCTACCAACAGAGCTGCCTCTCTGGCCCTGTGACATGATAAGTAAAAAGTGATATAGATTGATCTTTGCCCTAGTTCTTGACAATGTGCTCACAAAACTGGTAGAGACGGGATCTTGGAGAATATTAACTTCTAATCTTTGCTCTTTGATCCTCATGGAATGAAGCTCTTAAATCCCCTGGAATTTTCTGCATGACAGGACCATGTTTTGTCTAATGAAGCAGTTCCTTTAATTAATTAATTAATTAATTAATTACTGCACATATGTGTGTGCCTGAGAGTGTACATGTGCACCACATATGTGCAGGAGCCCATGGAGGTCCCAATATGGCATTGGAGCCCCTGGAAGTGGAATCACAGGTGGTTGTGAGCTGCCATGTGGGTTCTGGGAACTGAGCTTGGATCATCTGCAAGAGCAATACATACTATTAACCACTAAGACAGCTCTGCAGACCTCTAATGAAGCAACCCTTGGTGTGCTCCTGGATGGCCTTGGGAGCCTGCTGTGAGCAGAAACAAGCATGTGATGAAAACTCTGTCAGAATCCAAATGGAGTCCTTTGTGCCAACCTCAGTACAACAAATGTTTCCTTTAAGATTTCATTTTTGCCGGGCACGGTGGCTCACATTTTTAGTCGCAGCACTCGGGAGGCAGAGGCAGGTGGCTCTCTGTGAGTTCGAGGCCAGCCTGGTCTACATTGTGAGTTCCAGGCCAGCTGGGGCTGTCTCAAAAAAGACCAAAGAAAAGTTTTAATTTTTATTTATGTGTATGAGTGTTTTACGTGCATGTAAGTGCACCACATGTGTGTGCCTGCAGAGGCCAGAAAAGCACATTGGCTCTCTTGGAACTGAAAAGCTACAGACGTTTTGAGTCATTGTGTGGGTGCTGGGAACCGAACCCTGGCCCTCTGGAAGGGCAACAAGTGCTCTTAACCACCAAAGCATCCCAGCCCCTACCACTTCTCTTTCATCTTCAACATCACTCTGGTTATTAGTCACTGTGACAGAGGATATTGTTTCCAAATATCTGACACGACTCTCTCCTCTTTCCACCTTTTAATCTTCCCCTTGCTCCAAACTCTCTGAATATGGCCATAGTTTTCTACGACACAATATTCCCATTGCCTTGCCCTAAGCGCTTTCCTGTCTGCTTCCACAGATGGCCTCAGCTGTGTGCAAACAGTTACTTTCATGGTGCATGTGTCTGTGTCCCTGCCCAAAATGCAAGTTCTCTAAGGGAGGAGATTATGATGTGGCTAACTGGAGTGCAACACTCAATATATTCAATAATAATTAATTGCTGAGAAACCGATTGAGCCATGGGTGTACTCTGTCATGAATTATCCTAGGGATAAGATATAGGTAGGCATGACGTGTCCAGAAGCTAGAGTGGACGGGAAAATATTTCTCCATATTTGGAAGTTTTATACCCTGGGCGCCCCCTTGATACTTCATGGCACTTTTATAAGACGGAATAAATGTCAATATAAATATTGACCATTTACCATGTGGTTGGCACTGTACGTTTTTATTATTCAATGGTCTTCACAATGACAGTGAGGGGAAATCTTTACCATTTATTTCAGTGATGAGGGAGGAAAGAGAAGCAGCGAGATGTCACTGGCTAAGGTAACAAAGCCTGCAGGATGTCATGGTGGCTTCTAGGGGGGCAGGTGTGAAAAACACCACACTCTCAAATAGTTAAGCACCTGCTACTCCCACCGGCTTTGGCTCGTGTCTGAGTCACATTAATGTTATCATTTAGGCACATGAGTTTCTAAGACAAAGGAGGAAGACTAAACATTCATTTTAGTTATGTGTCACCTCAGGGACAAGTGATTTCTGATTTTTGGGTCTGCAGTATCTGAGCACAAATTTCAATGCCAGTAATAAAATGAGAGCTTGGAACAAATAAACACTTGGGGCTGATGAAAGGAATGCACTGTTTCAGGGCAGGGGCTGCATGTGAAGCTAAATGTTCAGAGGGAGAAACACGTCAATACTAAATCTTTTAACCAACCTTTGATGGATGTGCTAATCTTCTCAGGTCAACCTGGGCTCACCATGGCGGTGCACTGTAATAACTTATTTAAAAGGCAGCTGGCATCTATAAATGGACTGCTCCATCAATTTTCAGATTTTCCTTCTCAGAGGTGTATTTGCTTATCAAAATGGTATTGGCTATATACAGCAAGAGCCCAACTGTGCATTTTGACAACACAATGCAGTTGGGGAATTCCTGTTCTTTACTCTCAATTCGTCTGCCTTTCAAGCTCTAGGGAGAAAACGAGATGACAGTAATGATAGACAGGTGATTTTTACTCGATTACAGCACTAGCTGTAAACCAAATCCAGTCCATGGTCTGATTTTTGTTTTTTGATAAAGTTTTATTGGAACACATTCACATCCATTTGTTTACTTAGTGTCTCTGGCTGTTTTTAGGTTATAAAGACAAGGCTGAGCAGGCATGATACAGATCATGTGACCGGCCAAGGTGAAAGTATTTACTCTCAGGTCTTTCACAGAACATGCAGGCTGATGCCTGGCTTAGTGACAAGTGGTATTTGTCTTACTGCATATATATCTTTTTTCAGAGGGGGCTAAATGGTGACAGGGAGAATATGTGGCTTAGAGCCTGGTATGGTGGCAGATACCTATGATCCCAGCACTTGGGAGGTAGAGGCTGGAGGATTTAGGAGTTGGTGGCCAGCCTGGGCTACATGAGAGCTTGCCTAAAAAAATGAACATACAAAACTAACAAACAACTGGTTTGTTTAAGGCTTGTTGTAACATTCAGGAAGGTTTAAAGAAGGAAATACAAAATGCAAAACAGGAGGCAAGAACTTTAGCGAACCGCCACTGTGATGAGGAAGTGAGGAACTGGTGCAATGCACACGATCAACACTTAACGCCAAGGGAAAGCAACATGTTGGCCAACAATATACATCCTGCTTAAGGGATTCTAAGTGGCTGACAGGTGAATCCACCATGGGAGGGGCCCACTGGGACTTTGGTAAATGTTTCTATCACTATATGGGACTCTTTCCCTGAGAAATACCCAGGAGAGACACAAAGAATATACCCAAAAGGAAGGGAGTGAGGCTGGCGAATGTGTTAGGGAAGCTGTCCCTCAGGTCCCGGTGTCCAGGACTCAGAACTTCAGGGGAATGACAGGCCAGTACTTGGGCTGCTTTCTGTCACAGCACTTATCAAAGTTCAGCTGCACGGCAGCCTCCATGGCTAGGATCTTGGCAGCGCTGTCTCCATACAGGCGCTTCATCTCAGCCTGGCGCCGCTCGCCAGGCCTCTCAGATGGGGGCTCCGCTGACCGTTGGTAGTCGCAGTACAAACCGTGGTCAGCATTCACATAGTCACCCAGGCGCTCTGCATCCAACTTCTGCTGCTGCCCTGGAAAAGGACATGACCATGAACATGCATGCACAGACAGGTGGTTGGTCTGGAGACTGCTGCCTCTGCTACCATCACTATGCATGCTGCCTGTGGCCCCCAAGGTCCCTCTTTCCATCTCCAACTGTCAAGCTGGGCCCTGTTAGGCCAGCTGAGGGGACCTGCAGATCATAAGGCATGACCTTCAGATTCTCACTCTCTGCTACTTAGTCAGTAAGCTCACTGCTCACTTCTTAGGGGCTAATATACAGCAACAGAAAAGGCAAAAAGCCACCAAAAAAACCCGCAGCACTCCAATCCATCAAAGCTCTGCAACACGCCTTGAAAATACAGGAACAAAACCAAACTTTCGCTGGTCACAGATAGCTGATGCTGTTTGTTTTGCTTTCATTTGCTGTTCCAGGACGGAAATGAAGTTTCCTGGAAAGTCCAGTGTTGCAAGAGGGGCTCTTTTTAAAAAATTATAACTTTTTTATTTAATATGGATGAGTGTTATTCCTGTATACATGTAAGTGCCCCTGTGTCGTACAATGCCCAAGGAGGACAGAAGAGTGTGTCAAATTCCCTGGAACTGGAGTTAAGGATTGTTGTTAGCCACCATGTGGGTGCTGGGAACTGAACCTGGGTCCTCTGCAAGAGCAGCCAGTGCTCTTAACCACTGAGCCATCTCTCTAGACCCTGCAAGAAGCACTCTTAAGAAAATTACTATTTATTTATTTATTTATTATTATTTTTTTATATAGGACTGTCCTCTGGCCAGCAGACTATGGACAGATGCCTTCTTCCCAAGCTTGGTGAAACCCAGGATCATCACAAGTCAAACTTGTTGACTATTACACTTTGCAAAAAAGGAGGGACAGGGGCTTCGGGTATATAAGCTGAGGAAGCCATATGGACTCTCTTGCCATTTTGTATGGCTGTCGGGCAGTCACGATCCATGTCTGGGTGGAGACTTTCTAGTGCAGCCTTAGGAGGGGAACGCACTCCTGAAAGTAAACTCTCACCCACTGCTCTGTAAGTAAGCCCAATAAGCTCACTGGTTTTCCCAGACTGCAGTCTGGCAAAACTGTATCTTGGTTTGTTGTAGGTACCAAGGGAGGATGGAGCCTGACATCGTTTGCACCTCCAGGAGGAATTTTAGCTGTGTGTGTGTGTGTGTGTGTGTGCATGTGTACACACGTCACAGTACATGTGTGGAGGTCAGAGGACAACTTTTGAGTCAGTTCTCTCCATTATGTGAGTCCTGGGGATCAACTCAAGTTATCAGCTTGGCAATGAGTGCCTTTATACACTAAGCCATCTCACTGGCCCCAGTTTGTATGTGCGCATATGTATGTGTGTGTGGTTTGCTGGTATGTGGGGACACGTGTGTGTACATGGAGACCAAAGGTTGATATCAGGTGTCTTCCTCTATCACTTTTATATTGAGGCAGGGTCACTCACTTGAACCCAGAGCGCACAGATTCTTCAAGTCTGGCTGGTCAGCTTGCTCTGGGTATCACCTTTCTCCCAGGTGCTAGGATTAGAGATGGGCTGCCATGCCAACCTGGTAATTTATGTGAGTGCAAACCCCAGGCTTCATGCCTGTGCAGCAAGTGCTTTACCCATTCATTGTGCATCTCCCCAGCCCCCAAGAAGCAGTTCGCAGTACCACAAATGAGCTGTGTATGTGGGGTTATGCCCTCGGAAAGAGGTATTGATTTTAGGGAAGCTGGAAAAGAATAAGTCCTGGTAAGTCCAGATCACAACAATAAGCACAAATCCTACCAGACAACAGAACCCAACCACTGAACACTCACTGGAGGCAGAAGGGCAAAGGAACAGCCTCTCCAAATGGAGTGAGGGCTTCGTGCTCTTAGCCTTCCTGCTACAGGAACAGAGGCGAAACATGGGCTGCTTTTCTCACTATGGGGTTCCAAGTGCCACTTCCCAGGTTAGCCCAGGTGAAACTGCAAGTCCTACTAATTTAATGGATTCCTGTAAAACAAGTATTTATGCAATCTCTTTCCCTCTCCCTCTCTCTAGATTTTTTTTAAACCACAGCAAGTCTCAATATTATAATTTTTATTTCTGTGTAAATAGTGACATAAAAATGTCAATGAAGGAAATGCTGCAGAAGGTAAAATGCAGCCAACTCAACAGAGATTTTGTGACTCTGTCAAGCAGAAGGTGCATTATCTGTGGCTGCTGTTGTTACTGAGAGGAATGCCTGGAGATAAGGAGTAAAAATGGCTGGAGGGGAATAAAACAATGACATAAATCACTCTTCCCTGGCTGGGCCTCTCTCTGCTAGCATCTGAAAGGGAAGACAGCAGAATATGACTATTGGAAAGTCATTCTCATAAATCCCCTTCTTTACAAATAGCACCTTGGAGTTGGAAGGAAGGAGTTTTACAAACTTGGAACTGTTATTAAAAATGGATATAGCCAGGTGTGGCGGTGCATGCCTTTAATCCCAGCATTTGGGAGGCAGAGGCAGAGGCAGGCAGATCACTGAGTTCGAGGCCAGCCTGATCTACATAGTGAGTTCCAGGCCAAGCAGGACTACATATATTGAGACCGCGCCTTAAAAAAAAAGGATATGGTATGGCTGGAGACATGGCTCAAAAGTTCTGAGTGCTTCTTTTGACGATTAAGTTTAGTGCTGACCTCTGAGGGCACCTGTATACACATGACATTCACAGACAGAGACACACACACACAAATAAAAAAATTTAAAAAAGGATATGCTGAGGGCACCTGTATACACATGACATTCACAGACAGAGACACACACACACACAAATAAAAAAATTTAAAAATGGATATGGCCACACAGACACACACACACACACAGACACACACACACACACACACACACACACACACACACACGGCCATCTTAGAACACCTGCACTTTATTTTTACATGTGTAAGTGATATGTTGCTAACTCAAATAACTGTCAAGCAAAAGAAATGCCCTCTGCTAGCCAAAGAGCTATGACTTATTGTGAGAAACACAAAACTGATCTAATATGCAAATGAACTGGAGGTTAACAAGCTCAAAATTTTGGTCTTTCTGCCAAGTTTAAAAATATCAGTATTTCAGCTGCTCTGTCTTCACAGGTGTTTAAATTCCGTATCTCAAAACCAGAGTTTTGGTGAAACAGTGTGACGGTGAACAAACGGGATCCCAATTACCTGGAGAAAATAACCCAATTTAAGACACTTTTCTGACTTTCAAGTTAGCTTCTAGGGGGAGAACAAAAGTCAGAAGTGGGTCAGGGAAAAGCACTCGATGTTTGTGTCTGCCTCTTATTTCCGGTGCCACATATTCCTGATACCGTAGCTAGGGTAAACACCCAGCTGGGGGCTAGCTTCTCCAGGGCCTGCCTCTGTCCAGGGATCACTGAATGCCAGTTCTTCTGGCAGGGCTTTGAGGGGAGCTTGGCTTGCCTGGTGTTGAGGAAGGGTGACCCAGGACAGCAGGGGCAGTTACAGATTGGTAAGATACAGTCAATGTTTAGCACTGGGATCTTTGGTTAGCCCAGGTTGGCTTCAGACTCATTATGCAGCCAAGATGACCTTGAATGTCTCATCCTACAGCCTCCATCTCCCAAGTGCTGGGATTATCGTCCTGCTCTGCCATTCCTGGTTTATGCAGTGGTGGGGATGGAATCCAGGGCCCTGTGTATGCTTGGTTAGCATTCTACCAACTGACTTATATCTCTGCTCCAAGCATTTAGCTCAAAATCAAACTCCCAGATTGTCTGGCTGTGCACTAATGATCACAGCTAGCAACTGAAAGTACTTTAAAACATACTGATTTAGGGGACCAAGGACTGTAGGATGGAATTCCTGAGCCTAAAGGCATCCACTGAGTCTATTTTCTATTTATTGCTTTCTTCTTCCATCTCACTGAAAGAAATGATACTTGATCTCTGGCACATTTTCTAAGGTGAGGGCCCAGCCAACTGGATGGTGAATCATCCAACTGCAGCTAAGCAGTATGAACATCACACGCTGAGACACAGTTGAATGGCCACCTTGCCTGGGCAACAGACTGGGTCATTTTTAAATTGAAAGCAGCTGCAGGGTAGTAATGGTAAGTTTTGACAATTTGATTACACCGAGGGCCACCTACGAGACTAGCCAAGCACACCTCTGCACATGTCTAGGAGCGTATTTCCAGAGAATGGGTAATGAAGGGAGGAAGCTGAGTCCTGAAGGTGGGTGAGAACATCCAAAAGGCTGGGGGTTCAGATAGAACAAAAGGGGAAGAAGGGGAAAGCGGCATCCAGGCCCACTCACTCTGCTTCCACCACGCCCTACTGTCGAGACTAGCCAAGCACACCTCTGCACATGTCTAGGAGCGTATTTCCAGAGATGGGTAACGAAGGGAGGAAGCTGAGTCCTGAAGGTGGGTGGGAACATCCAAAAGGCTGGGGGTTCAGACAGAACAAAAGGGGAAGAAGGGGAAAGCGGCATCCAGGCTCACTCACTCTGCTTCCACCACGCCCTACTGCCACCACGATGCTCTGCCTTGCCTCAGGCCCAAAGCCATGGATCCAACTGATCTTGGCCTGAAACTTCTGAAACTCAGAGGCAAAATAAATCTTCCCTTCCTAGTTGAAAGGTATTTTGTCACAGCAATGGAAAATCTGACTAACATAAGGGTATTTGCCTAAGGGAATCAGCTTAACCACAAATCAGAAACAGCATTTAGATTTTAGTCCAGCTTTAAAACAGGGCCGAAGTAGGCACACAGTGTGTTGTTACCACCAGAGCATCAGAGTGGGACTTTATTTGGAAATAGAGTCTTTGCAGATAAAAGATAAACGAGGAGATTATACTAGATTAGGGTGGACCCTAAATCTAGTGACTGTGTCCTTACACAAAAGAGAAAGGACAGGGAGACACAGGAAAAGCCCTGTATAGGTAGGAGCAGTGATAGTGCCGCAGGCCAGGGATGCAAGGAGACACCAGGAGCTGAAGAAACAAGGCCTTCAAACATTTGTAGG